TCCCTGACATTCTGTGATTCTGTGAATTCTATGACTAAGAAACCTTCTGTGTAAATTTAATATGTGAACTCTATTTCTCTTCACACATGCCTTAGTGCTGCTGTCAGGAATGACACTGCAAGAGGTAGTCCTGTGACACTGTGTGTACATATCACAAAAGATGTTAAGAACTGGAAGCTCCTAACTATATCCTGGTCAGTAGGTTTCATTTTTGCTGTAGGTGGATGGTTGATTGGAAGTAAAAGTAAACATAGTAGACCAGATGATTCAGTTTCCAGTTTATTCACAGATTTACATGCTTACCCTGTCAAGCATGAGACACTCACCTTTGGAGCCCTACAGGAATCCAGGAACCCATTAGCCCTTTTCAGTATCAAACCTGAATTGCTGTGTTCAATGAGAGTCAAGTGCCAGCAATCTTTGCACAGCATATATCCTTTCTGTTTTTCTCCACCTAACGTCTATAGCTCTAACAGCTCGTGGATGAAAAACGGCTGATCCATGTTCTGCTTCAACAAGGCAGGACCAGCATTCCTGAAATTTGCAGCCATGCTTCTGTGGTGAAAGTACACACACAATTTATATTCTACAGCTAAGGAATATTTTTTGATTCCTTGCTGATTCTGAGCTCTTACGTAAAAACATCTGCTAATAACATTTTTTATAATCTCCATTTGGCAAGGTAATTATCCCATCCTGGCAGACAACGACCAGGCCTCAGTTATTCATGTCTTCCTCACCTCCTGGCTGGGCTGGGAAATGTGATATGTTCTGGGCATAAAGCCTTTAGCACTTAGGAAATTCCAAGTACACCAGAACTCTGCAGTGCATCCCATCAACAACACATGGTGGTGTGAACACATAAAAAACTTTCTAATTGTCTCTTAGAGTTTCATGCAGGATCAAGGGGTTTGCCTTTGTTTTCAAAGAACTTTGTGGCTTGGACCCAGAACATTTAAAAGATTGCCTGTGTTTCTGGGAGGGAAACCACAATTAATACAATTAAGCTTTCTACAATAAGAGGATAGTTCATCCGGAGAGAAGAGACTTAACTTTCTCAGAGGCTAACGTAAGATTTTGGAATGAATTCCCCCAGGAATCACAGATCATCACACGCCTTCACCAACTTCTACTCCCACTGCAAAGCACATTCTTTTGGTTTTGTCTCTTCTGGTATAAATACACAGCAACAATAAAAATAAAACAGGACACTTGTTCTGGGAAAGAAAGAGAACAAACACCCCCTGACAGATGTTGGTTGTGTCATTTGGAAGGCACTCGGATACATGGATGACACTGAGATACAGGAACTTAGCATAAAAGAGGTAGAATAGACCTACAGTGTAAATTTACATGAATTCATGTTGCAATGGACACTTGTCCCCTGGAAACTCATGTGAGGTTGCCAAACTGAGTTCTCACAGATCACAGAACAGCTGTAAATCCTAAGTGAATCTAGTCAAGGAACAAGGAGTTCCACCAACAGCATTATTTAGGGTAGATTCTCTGCTGTTATAAAGGTATGTTCTAAAGCTTCAGTCTTTGTCCCAGTCAAGATACCCAGAGCATCTCTGACTTCTGCCCAGCTCTATGAAATCTGTTGGGACTTAAGTGCCTTTAAGACTTTTAGCTCTCTCTTAAAGTCAGCTGAAAGTGGTCACTTTTGCTTCTAAATATCCAAATAAGTCAAAAGACACTGATTACAAAAACTCTGCATACAAAATTATGCTAAAACCTCTCCACAGAAAAATGACAATGTTCTGTAAAGCCAGCTTTATTAGAATAGGAAAACAATATAGAAAAATAAAGGGTTCCCGTAAACACAAGATCAAATAAGCTAACGTTTCACTGGAAGCTGAAACCTTGTGATAACAAACCTACTGAACATAAACTTAACAAGCAAACCACCAACAGGTAAACACTTATGTGTAAACTGTGCTTTTGGTAATTTCAGAAATAACCATCAAGAACTAGCATTGCGGCATGATTTTTGTTATAAATAACCCGCCAACAGCTTTTTAGAGAACATATAACTGTTCTCTCTGTCTCTCAAAATATGTCTTAAGCTATAAAAACAGTACAAATCTTTTCCTAATATCAAAAAAACAGTGTGAGATCCAGATGGGTAAAAAACCTAAACTGCTTGAGAAAGCTATTAAAATAACCCTATTAAAAACTTATCTGTATTGAAAATATTTCCTTTAAAGGCTATTCTAGACACAAGTTAAATCTTTAAACATAATGCTTACAATATACAAATGTAGAGGTTTTCAGACATAACTACTGGTACATTAGAGTCTGGCTGAGTTAAGAATCTGATCTTTAATAGTGCCATCCAGTCATGCAGATTTGTGGTACTTCTGAGCAATGCCATAGGGAACATGCGCAGCTACGGTGCCTAATTTCTGTGCTCCTTCAATGTGAAACATCTGGTCATCAAAGAAAATGTGAGGGCGGATTTTCCCCAGGATCGGCCCTTTAGGAGCTCCTGCTAGGAAAAGTGCCTCATCAATCTCCAGACCCCAGCTACGAAGAGTCTTCAGCACTCTGGCTCCAGAGCTTGCCGCACTTCTGGCTGTGACCAGGAAGGTCCTTATAGGACAATTTAATCGTTCGTTTTTTGCATAGAACTTCTTCTGGAGTTTCCCTAGGTCTTCCAGAAAACCTTTCAAAGGACCCTGAGTATGAAATAACAGAAGCATTATTTAGTATTTGACCACAGCTCCCAAAATCATTCTTTTGCTTTATTCCAGATTACCAGTTACATACAAGATTCCTTCCTTGATGCTACACTGCTCAGCAAATTCTCTGTGCAGTATGTCCAAATGGGTCTGCACTCTCACTAGGGATTCACAAACTGGAAAAAAGTTAAAGCCATAATCCTACACGATATGATCAGAAGGAAACTAATTCTCACTAAAGCTTAAAAGATCTCTTATAAATTTATAACTATAATCTCTAACTTAAAAAAATGTTCTCTAAAAACATTTAACTTTTTTTACTATGAGTTATGAGGTTTGGTTTGTTGGTTTTTTTTCTGTGCAAAAACCAGCAAGAGACTTCAGTACATAGACATCACTGAAATCTTTCCAGTTTCATGACAATATTAGAATTACACTCTGATTAAAAGAAGTAAACAATAGTTTGGGACAAATTGCAAGATACTGGACTATCCAGTACTTTCATAAATCAAGCTTTTATTCTGAATTTATACCATTTTTTAACAATAGCAGAATCAGTCTTGCAGTTTAAGCTAATGTTAAAATATCTGTGGTTTTTTTAGACAAACGGCATAGTTCTGCTTGGGAATAAGCAGACATACTACCCTGTTTCAATAACCACAATATCACAGTGTTTGAAATTAACATACCTACACAGTCTGATAAAAAAATAAGCAAGGAAATCAGTAGTAGCCTTTCCTTTTTCTAATTATACAACTAAAATACAACTGTAAGTCCCTGTCTTATATATGCTGTTCTCTCTGAAGTGGAAGATTTGGTGAAAGGATTCTGGTGGGCTCTTTTAAGTCAAACATGCATTTTAAAGATTATCCTTGAAAAAGGAAATAAATAGGGCAATCAGTTTCCACAAAGAAGCATACATACACACTGCAGAAACTGGAGAAAGACAGCAGCAATAAAAGTGAACACATTTTGAAAACTCACTGATTCAAGAAGTACAAACCTGTGCAAGAGGCTTATTTTCATTTAGCTGTTCATGTTCAAAAAATTTATCTAATCCCTGCTCTTTGACAATCTGTTCTGATTCATCAGAAAAGAGAACGGCATCCCCATCGAATGCCACCCTCAACTGTGTATCCGAGTAAGCAACATCCTTGTTGGCAGTGAACATCGTAGCTGATGCAATACCTGAGAATGGATCAGAGAACCTCAGTTAGCATGTCCTGCAAAGTCATTCATTAAACTGTTATCAGTTCAGTTCCAACAACTTATTTATGGTGACTATTTTATACACTAAACAGAAATGATCACTAAAGCTAATTAGTAATGGCTGTTCTTTAACACAAATGCAGGGAAGCTGTCCCACTGACATAATTTCTTAGACACACTTCCTTCCACTTCCATGTAAGAATACACAAAACCAGTCCCCAAGGTGCGCTGCAAATGAGAGAAAGCAGAAAATTCCAAGGAGACAGTTGAGTCAAACTACTTGTTATTTTGTACCTCCTTACAAAACACAGTTGTTTTTTGTTACTTGTATCAAAGATATGACTCAATTCAAGCAGAAGTTGAAGAGAGATGAGTAGTTGTGTATGGGAATTAATTTCTTGTAGCATGGGAGAAAACAGAAAAGTGCAGCAAAGCTAAAGGCTGATTAAATTGTCATTATTGGCAGGCTGAAGGGTCAGAGAGGAAAAATACAGAGAAATAACCTGATTTTATTTGATTAAGCAAAAATAAGTGATGTTTGCACCATACAGGGTTGTGACTCTCTGCATTTGATGAAGCAGCACTACTTTCTGTGACAGACACAAAACATTATATTTTTAACAAGCTCAACAGAGAGACAACAAAAGAAAGTCAATTCAAACCTGCTTCTATAGCTTCTTGCACTTTTTCCGAGTCTGCTGAGAGGTACAAGTTCGTAAGGTATGCAGTCAGGTAACCAATAGGGCTTTTTCCTCCCGTCATACAGAAACGCTCAATCGTTAAGCCTAAAGTAAGAACAGCACAAGGTGTGACTCTGCTTTGACACTACAAACCTGTAAAAGGAACCCAAAGAAGGTACACTAGCCTACAACTGATAGTGAACTTTAAAAAGATCTGTTCACTGTAATTCCACCAAATTAGAAAACTTAAACTGAGTATTACGTTTGATCAATCCTTCCTCCTTGAGAATTTAACACAAAATCCCTCCGAGACAGCAGAATAACTGCTGTGAATGTGTATGTATAGGGGGTATAAATACCAAACAACAAAAAGTTTAAGGACTTTTTTTCAGAAATTAAGATTGACACCTGAAAAATCTAGCGCTTTGGACCAAGTTCTGTTTAATGCTATCTCACTTATGCTGACACCCAAAAATAAATTATCATCCTCTGAGGAATGGGTGTCAGTATCAAAGAAGCTGCTTTTACCAAGGTCAGAACAGGGAAAAGAAAATTAATTCATTTAATTATGTAGCAGCAGGCAGTTCTACAAGGTATTATTTATTTTACTCACCATAGTGATTGATGCTGTTTATGAGTCTCACTCCCACTTGGGCATGGTTATTAGTCATCAGAACGATATCAAATCGTTCTTCATCATCAGGGTACAGCTCAAGAAGCCGGGCATTGACATGCTGCAGTGCCTACAGATTAAAAATGTGGAAGTCAATAGAGAAGAGGAATGTGCCTCAGTTCTTAAACACTGTGAGTCCAGTGACAGGACTGTCTTGAAAGAGAATGTGAAATACCTGATAGTTTAACTTGCTGAACTTGTTTTATTTCTTTCTGCTCTGCTGCTCCCAGAAACCATTTGACTGGGTTCACTTGAAGGGAAGCAAGTAAGTTCCTTTTGGTGAGTTACAGAATTTAACTTGTATCCTTTTTCTTGGGACACCATGATCATCCCGAATAAACCAATGTACTGCTGAACATCATCACAATCTTTATTAATCCTTTTTTTTCTTGTCCACTTGAAACTTGGACTTGGACTTCCTTGTCCATTTGAAAATCTTTCTTGTGAAATCAGGTAGAATCATAGAATCATAGAATTATAGAATGGTTTGTATTGGAAGGGACTTCAAAGATCATCTAGTTCCAATCCCCCCGCCTTCAGCAGGGACACCCTCCACTAGATCAGGTTGCTCAAAGCCTCATCCAGCCTGGTCTTAAACACTTCCAGGGAGGGGGCATCAACAACTTCCTTGGGCAACCTGTTCCAGTGTCTGACCACCCTTACAGTAAAGAACTTCTTCCTAATATCTAATCTAAACCTGCCCTCTTTCAGTTTAAACCCATTTCCCCTTGTCTTGTCATTAGTAGCCCTTATGAAAAGTCCCTCCCCAGCTTTCTTGTAGGCCCCCTTCAGGTACTGGAAGGCCGCTATGAGATCTCCCCGGAGCCTTCTCTTTTTCAGGCTGAACAGCCCCAACTCTTTCAGCCTGTCTTCATAGGAGAGGTGCTCCAGCCCTCGGATCATCAAGAAGGTGTAAAGGAATTTATACGTGCAACTGCTTGTTTTACATGCACAATTGCAAATTTGGGCCACATATTATGCAAAGATTTACTGACACATTTCAGGTGGTCAGGTGTCAAAGACTGTCCTTAATACTCGAGTACAAAATCATATCCTGTCAAACATGATTACCTTGTCAATTTCTAACTGCAATACTGAATGAGACAGATTTTGATTCATTTGAGATCTCTTTAAAGATAATGGTCCAACCTGTTATATCCACAGTTTGGCATTCTTATTTCCTTGACCTTTCATCTGCTCGTCTCTCTCTGTATTCATCTGTTCTCTCATGTTATTTAGAATCTTACCCTTTTGGAGTAAGACTTGCCTTTGCTCTAGGTTTATACACAGACCTCTGCTTTGGGATCTTGGCCCTTGAATGAAATTCCTTGGGATTATGGCAATAAAGTCAACAATGAATCATCAAAGGAATGCAAGATGGGTTAATTTTCATTAAGAAGCTTTAAAAAGTCAGGCCAGTTGTTAAGAATTAAAACATAGATTTCATAATTAAATTCTGGGAATCTCACTTTAAAAAGCATGGCTATGTCATGTGAGACTGTGCTTAGGAAAACTCTTAAGTGTGAGCCTGGTATATGACCTAGGAAAAAAACTTAGTATGTGGTCATAACCCCTTTGTACCTTTTTTCTTTTTGTACTCTCTGCTAATTCTCTACTGCACTAGCAATTTCTTAAAGTATTATAGAATAAGGGGGAGTGGAGGAGTGGGTGACATTTTTTTTTGTCAAATGCCTGTACATTTTGCAGCCCAAGGAGATCCTGGCCTGTGATTAAGATTCTTAAGTGCTAAAAGAATGAGATATAATACTTTTAAGTCAGTGTCTTCAAGATTTCAATAAAGGAATAATAATAATACAAAAAATATTTTTGCCTTTTTTGTCTCCAAGCAGAAAGCATCACCCAACAAACCCACAGTTCTCTAGCCTAATGATTCCTGTGACTAAGCAATTTATGAATCTCATAAAAATTATAAAAAATTCAACTGCAAATAGCATACTGGAAGGGAACAGAGATCAAGGTGCATTTAGCTGGGCATAGCTAACAGCTCTGATTTTCAAAGTGAGAGGAGTTAAACAGTCAAATCTTGCTTATATTCAAAGTGAATTTGACACTGAATACCAAATCTCTTGAAAGCCGACTGTGCTAGCAGGGCTGCTATCTCTAGCTGTCTCAGATAGGAAAACAGGCAGTAAATTCACTAGTCAGTGTAGCCACATTGGTGTACAGAGTGAATTATTTTATGACAATGCTTTTATGTTAAAAACACCTTTACTATGCTTGTGCTATTAATGCTGTTGTCAGCTGTTATATTTAGAACAGCATGGGTACTGACATAAGTAATTTTTCCACTATGTATTTCCAAAAAGTGATCAGCAATGCTGAAAATGTCTTAACTTCCTGAGACTAAAACAGAAGCTATGAAAATCTACTCTTAAAACCCAAAGGAAGTGCTCCATCACAACTCTACTGTCAGCAAGTATGACTGTTAATTATGATTTAATAAATTTTCTAAAATTGCTGTGGTAGAGCTTCTCAAACCATTCTCCATGGTCATAAAATGAACTCTGTAGATGGCATTTTTTTTCAAGTCAGTCTCACTGAAGTGTTTGAGTGTTCCTCCAAAACTTTAAAAAAAACAAACAAAAAAAATCACTTGCTTTCCATGCTGGAGGCTGTTTACCTTCGTTATTTCTTTTATCTTGTGCAAGGAAAGCAAAATATTCAATTTCACCTCTGCTTAAACCCTGACTCCCAACTAGGAAGTCTCTTTCTTTTGCTGGTCCTCAAGAAAAATTTCCAGGGTGACAACAAAAGTAAGGAAAAAATAAAACTGACCACAAAAGAAAAAAAAGGTTCATTTCTGAATAAAGTAATTTGAATAATATTGAATCAATTATGTCTTTAATCACAGCAGTCCTATTATAAGTGAGACATAAAAATGGAATGAGGAACTAAGATGTTTTAGGTTTTTTGGGGGGAAAAGGTTGCAACAAACTTAAAACAATTTGTGGGCCTATCTTAACTGAAAATAGTCTTAGAAGGAAAGGTGCCCCGTGTCCAGCAGAAGATGCTGTGTGCTCCTTACCCACACCTCGGGCCTGGAGCCGAGAGCCGGGGGACACACACCGTGATGCCGAGGGGGAAACTCCGGCCCCGGTGACGCCAGAGGTACGTGATCTCCCGCAGGCGCTTCCCGTTAGCGGCGGCGGGAGAGGAGCGGAGAGGAGCGGAGAGAGGAGTGGAGGGAAGAGGAGAGAGGAG